ATTGGACTATTGGACAGGCTTGAAGGAATCACTAGGCGAAGCCAGTATAGCAGCTATCGGGGTTACAGAAACCAAACAGGAAGACTGCTTCCTTGAAATCTACCATCGAAAAATAGCAATCATCGACAAAAAAAAAAACTTGTTCCAGGCCGTCCAAAACAATCCAAAAGATAAATCTGTTCAGGAAAGCTTCGACGAAATAAAACGGGAAGCTTGGCACCAGATCAGACAAATTACGGATAAATAGTGGAAAGACAAGGCTAAAGAAATACAAGGGTTTGCCGATCAGCATGACCAAAAGCAGTTCTTCGAAGCCATAAAGTCTACGGTGTCAAGCAGCGAAAAGTATCAGGGACAAACATGGCAACTTATTGAAAGATCAAAGCCAAATAAGAGGTAGATGGACAGAGCACTACATGACTATTTTGAATCAAGCATGTAGAAGTAGACAACACAGAACACTAGCGCAGTACGAGATGGCAACCACAATGGTCAATGGACACAGAGATATCCTCGGAAAGGACACAGAAGCCTTAAGAATAATAATGCCCAGGCGCCGACCAAATTCCAGCAGAAGTGTTTAAAGCTCTAATGAACGATGATCCAACTATAGAAAAAATCAGAGACCTCTTCAATCTAGTTTGGGTCAAAGAGAATGTTCCACAAGACTTCCGAGACGCGTAAATTTTCAATTTATACGAAAATAAAGGCCGGTTGCCGACTGCGGCTACTACCGTGGTGGAAAAATTTTGGCCAAAGCTATGGATGCTAGGCAACTGACGCATGTAGAGAAAATACTTCCAGACTCACAGAGCGGCTTTAGACCGAAGAGAGGCACTTCTGACCTGATTTTTTCTCTAAGGCAACTTCAAGAAAAAGCTGAAAAAGAGCAGTCTCGCATTTATATGGCTTTGACCAAGTGAAAGCATTTGACTCAAATAATAGAGAGGTACTGTGGAAAATAATGGCGCGATTTGGAATACCCATAAAATTTCTGAGTATCTGCAGGAGCCTACACGAAAACAATTGGTCAAGAGTGTTACTTGAGGGAGAGCCATCTGAACCTCTCCAGACCCAAACAGGGGTGAGGCAGGGCTGCGTTCTGGCTCCTATATTATTCAATATTTGCGTCACTGCTTCAGCTATAATTGTTGAGAATAATTTAGAGAAACGAGAAGTATAGAATTAAATACATAACTGACTTGCAATATGCCGACGTCTCTTTCAGCTGAAAAACTTCAGACGATCCAGGAATCGTATTCATTGGCGTACCAGGCTTTAGGATTCAAGGTAAACATAAACAAAACAGAAATAACGACGACCCTAGCCACAGCAGAGCATGCTGAAATTCACATTCAATAAAACCCAGTAGAATATGTCAACCATTTTAATTACCTTCGAAGCATCGTTAATACTATCGGAAACATCGACCAAAAAATCGAGCATCGTATCAACAACGCCACTGCATCATTCTGGAGACTAAGAGCCAGACTATTCGACAACCATGATCTTTCTATAAGTACCAAAGTTGATGTCTATCAAGCTACAATAATACCAGCAATAACCTACAGCTGTGAGACGTGGATACCTTATGGAAGACATATCAAAACCTTAGAGAAGCTTCAGCAAACTGCGACAAATAATGCATATTAAATGGTTCCACAAAGTTTCCAATAACCATGTGCTGCAAAGAGCGAAATGCAAAAGCATCGGAGATATCGTTACACAGGCTAGACTTCGTTGGGCAGGACATGTTGCTCTTATGCCAGAAAACCGTTTACCCAAATGTGTTTTGTACGGAGCGTTGGTTGAAGGAAACAAGGTGGTCAGCTGAAGCGGTATGAAGACGTGTTACACGAGACCCTGAAAACTGAAAATCTTCAAAACGACTGGAAAGAACGAGCTGAGGACCGCGAAATATGTAGAGGTGTTGTTGCCAACTACACAGCAGTTAATAGGCCATTCCGGCCATGTCGGAATCCAGTTGAAGAAGTTTTCTAATGCCCAGACTGTGGCAGAGTTATTTCTTCAAAGATTGGAATGTTCAGCCATAGATGAACTCACAGAAGATCACTCTGTTTGATATTCTGTATTGTATATATATTCGGTTGCGAATAAACCTCATATATAGGGCGTCCCAAATTCCTATGTTTCCAAAATTTGGGTTAGTTATAATGACGTTTATTACTTAAGAGGTAATACTAATGTTCCTTTTATAGAAGACCTCGTACCGTTTTTCCTTATGGAAATGTAGGCACTGGATGCTCAATTAAGATTTCTATTAATTATAGTTTTTAGCTTTTTTTCTATAAAATACTTTTCAAAATAGTCTCCTAAAACGACCATAGATTTTTGATCTACAATTTTTTCCATTAGCAGTTTTTCAGTGCATAATTCATCACTGATTCCCCACAGGGTCATGAGAGCATGACCTCCAAATTCATCCATTCCTAGATGTAGGCTTCTTCGAAATCTTTCTGTTCTGTCTGTCTGTCTCCAGCTCTTTCCTACTATTAGCTGGATATCACCTCGCCATCTTTTCTGGGGTCTTTCAATACTACCCTTGATCACCATTGAAAAGTTTGTTTGTCTATTTGTTTTTTTCTCTGTCTTGCTATATGACCAGCTCATTGCCACTACAAGTGTGCTGTTCTTTTCAACACATCTCTTACCTCCAGTCTTCCTCTGATTTCTTCATTTATCTCTGTATCTCTACTAACTCCGAGCATCATTCTTCAAACTTTTTTCGGAGAACTATCAGCATACGGTGTGTATGTGGGATCTAAGATCGACCCTATCATCCGAAAATGGGGAGTTTTATGACACACATGAGGGATTTTCAAGGGAAGATGGTGTGTCTACCAACCCATATTGGTGCTTTTCCGCATATGCCTTCAATTTCTTGCAAAAATTTGAACTTATTTGGTTGTATGGGATTTCCACAATAATTCAATTACTTTCAGTCAATTTTCTGACTGCTTTTATCACAGCCTTTTTCTACAAAGACTGTACGCAGAACTGATGTAAACTTTACTTCACTTTTATTTGCGTTCCACTATCACTTATGATGGCTCTACGTACACCTTTTAATAATATTCAAATCTAGCCTCATTCTGGGTTTCGTTTCACTAGCCTGGAGTGAGGCTGACGTGACATTCATACCATTAGCAAGACGTCAGCCAGAGGATGAACCAAAATCCCACTAACCCATTATAACTCCCTTTTTCCTTAAATTCATGGATAAAGCAGTAGACCAATATATCAGAAGCGAAACTCTACTCTAAATAGCAGACCGTCATCCAAGGCAATTTGCCTACCAAGCTAGTAACAGACATAGAAAAGACACTTGCGGCAAAATAAATCACTCTTGCTGCTTTTATGGACATAGACGATGTCTTTGATAACCCGTCACACCGATCTTTTAAAAACGGTCTTGAAAATGGAAGGGTATAGAAGCTCCCATTATAGGATGGACAGAAACCATGCTAAAACATCGCTCAGTGTCGGCGGAAATAAACGGCGAAACAGTTATTGTAACCAAGGTAAGAGGCTGCCCACAAGGTGGTGTCTTTTTGCCTCTTCTGTAGACACTAATGGTAGACAGCATTCTCATCTTATTAGACTAAGCAACGTCGGAATAACTGTCCTAGGCTACGCAAATGATCTGGCGGAAATAATCAGAGGCAAACTTGAAGGCATAATAACAGGCCAAATGCAAAGTGCCTTGAATTTGAATCAAAAATTGGAGCATAGAAGAAGGTCTTCTCATCAAAACAGCCTTAGTTCCGTTTACGAAAAGAAGGAAGCTGGATCTGTGAGCCCCCACTCTAAACGGCACTCAATTCTCTTTCGGATGAAGGGATCATCAATCATACTAGACCGCAAACTAAAAAAAGAACAGGGTCTAGGAGCCATCAATTGCAATTCGCAGCTAGTTTGGGAGATAAAAATATCCTGAAGCAACTGGCTGGGCGCAACAATGTAACCCTGATGTGGATGCCAGGACACCAGGGCATAGAGGGTAACGAGGAGACAGAGTCAGACCAATTTGCAAAGCAAGGCGCTTCAACACCTTTTCAAGGATCAGAGCCTTTTTGTGAACTAATGAAAAGCCACGTCTCCGAAGAAATTAACAGATCGAAAAAGGAGTGAATGCTTGCTCATTAGAGATATATTCCGGGTCTGAGTAAGAAGACAGGCAAAAAGTTTCATATCCAACGCAGCAAAGAGATGTGAACAACTTCTTGACATGAACAGAAGAGACATTAGAATAGTCGTCAGTCTACTCACTGGGCATTGCCTGGTGAAATATCACCTAAAAACAATAGACAAATTAGACAACGCCCAGTGCGAACAAGCAACAGAAACTACAGAATATTTAATGAATGAAGTCTGAAATAATTTGAATGAAGTCTGAAAATCACGAACTTCACTTGGATTTGTATTTTGGTTGCAGATTCGTTTCCTCGATTTAAATTCCAATATTTAAGGATAAAGGCGAGTCCCAGAAGAGGTTTTATCGAAAAGACACTTCTTGTATCGGTATAACATTATTGAATCTACAGCCTGGTACTACTACTTTAGGGTACTCTGCTTTAATTCTAGGGACTCAAATTATTTGATTGGGGCAATTTGAGCGAATTGGAGAAAAATTTGGTAACGCCCAATTGTCAAAGTAGGTTAGTGGTGATACTAGTAGTAGTAGTAATTTTTTTTTCAAGATTTGATGAGGATTAGGAAATCGAAATCACCATTTGGTAGAGCTAGCAGAATGGTAAGACGTTATAGTCCTAATCGATAGGACAAAATATGGAATATTAGATAATCCACCTTTCTTATTGGGTGACAGATATAACTTTCTCCATTATTTACAAGCACCTCTGGGAATTTATGCCCAAGTTTGTGAAAATCTTCCTGAAAATTCACTAGTTTTTGTTTCAGTCCCACAACACAAAATTCTAGTTAAACACGAATTATCAATTACTCTTTCTTTATCCCAGGACAAGAACGACCCTTCACAGCAACCCGAAAACGCTGTCCTATTAGGCTGGTGCGTTCCAGCGTCATGCAATCCGGAAGATCTCCAAGAGTACTTAAATAACTATCTAGCCACAGTCGAGACTCCTTTAACAAAAGAAAATGTCTCTTACATGTCGATTATTGGACCACAAAGTTGTCAGGCGCAAAACAATGGAAGACAATGGGATCATGTGGATATTTCATTCGTGTAAGTATCTTCTGTCAAGTATTTTTTGAATTTGGTAGCGAATACTTTTGTTGTAGACTTACTTCTGGAATTATTTTACTGTTGGTAATAGCTTCTACAGCTTGTGATGTAAGATGGACCAATGAAGAAAAATTATTTAGAGGTAAATGGATACTATTTTCAGAAATAATACTTAAATATTTTTATTATTTCCGATTTTATCTCAAACATCGATAATTATTATTATGTTTTCAGGTTCTCCCTTGAGATCTTTATTGGTGTCCTTTTCTCTACGAAAAAATTATCCAAAATTAGGCAAAAGTGAAGATTCAAATCCAGCATTAAAAGTACTATACGGCATGAGAGTTTTCTGTATTTGCATGATTATTACTGATCATCGTTTTGGTACATTCCTGAGTAGCGGCATATTGAATTTCAATACTGTAGAAGAGGTATTAATGTTGCACAATTTATAGGCATAAATTCTAATATTTCAAGTTTTAGCAATATAGATCATTCTTTGGTACCCTTTTCTTCCATGGAGATCTTTTCGTAGATTCTTTCTTTATATTGAGCGGAATTCTAGTAACTTACTGCCTTTTGGTACAATGGGAAAAGAAATTTTTGAATCCAGCTTTTATAATTATTTTAAGATACATAAGGTAAGTTAAATGAACTTTGCAAAACATCTAAAAAGAAATTTATTGCATAGGATGACGCCCTTATATGCATTTGTAATCTTCTTCTGTGCGACCCTATTCGATTTTATTGGATTCGGTCCCATGTGGACAACCATAATAGCTCCAGAAGTACAAGATTGTAGAAAAAATTGGTGGACAAATTTACTTTATATCAGCAATTACGTCAATGCAGATCATATGGTAAAACTAACATTATTTTGTTGTAAATTACGTAAAATGTTTGTGTTATAATTTAGTGTATGGTCCACAGTTGGTACTTATCCTGTGACTTCCACTACTTCATCGTAGCCCTGTTCATGACCATTCTAATACACAAAATGAAAAAAACAGGCCTAATAGTTTTGGGTTTAGTGTTTGTAGCTTCAATAATCATACCGTTTGTAATTGTGTTTATTCACAAAAGACCCGCAGTACTGTTTTTCTATTTAGACTTTATCAGAAGTCCGAAAACACATCCAGACTTTTTGCTGACCTATATAAAATCTCATGCCAGAAGTACACCGTACATTGTGGGAATGATTGCTGGATATATGTTTTACAGGATGAGGCAGCAGAAAACAAATGTTAATTGGGTAAGTAAAGAATATTCTTTGGTAAAGATGAATAGTGCGTGAATTATCAATTAGGCGCGCTCTAATAACAAAGCCATAGGAATTACATAAAAATCATTAATATTTATTACTAATTCGAATAATTTTTGAGTTATTACCTACGTGCGATAATTGGACAAGATTTGCTAATATATTGAGTTAATAACACAAGCATATAACATTTTATTTGCACTTCTCTTGGTAATTATCTATAGGTTCCTCCGAAACAATTTATTTATTGAATAACCCGAGGGACTTTCTCTTCTTGCTTATATCTTGTTTATTGGGTACCTCGGTATAATGTTGCCTGTGGCTGACTGGTTTTTGTTTGAACATTGATTGTATTACGTGAAGAAGTAGGTAGGTAATTTTCTGAGGTTTTGATTTTTATGAGTATTAATTTCTGGAATTATCGGAAAAATCGCTCATAACTCAATTAATTTTCCAGAAGTTCTTGATGCATATTTATATATTCTTAATCAAAATTAAATGCTCTTTAAGATAGAGTAAAATTGAATCATTTCTGTCAAATAGTTTTCGAGAAGTTATGCCTCAAATTTGAAACTTTTTTTTCAAATTTTTGAAAATGCCTTGATGGAGTCACGCCGAAGAATGACATTGACTCTACCTACCGTTATAAGAAAATTATTGAACAAGATGTGACTGTTTTGAATAAATTCTCAATAGGAAGTGATCATACATCTGTGAGAGCAAGACTCATTTTGAATACGTAAGTAGAGCAAGCAAGGTCAGAGTTAGTACGAAATACAGCAAAGACAAAACCAAACGCTCAAGAACACAGATCAGTGTAGGAAATTAGTTGAAACAAGCTTCACATATCTCTTGATTATAAAAGAAGAGCCGAAGAAAATATAAAGTTCGACGAGATGAATGATCAAATAACAGCCAAAAAGAAAATGAAATAGGAGGAAAAAAAAATAGAGATCGACGAAAGCCGAGCAGCTGAGAGAACTCCGCAAGTAGCAAATAACCAAGACATTTAGACATTACAATACAACATGAATAGTCAAAGTGAAAGAAGAGAATCGCTGCGTTCTATTGGAAGAAAGAGGCATTATGTTGAACCTTCGACCATGTTGAACTTAGATTTTCTTCTCCTCTAGGAATTTTAAAAAAACGTTCATTCGGTAATTTCCTAGATTATTTCATCAACGTTAAATCCTTTTCTCGAAAGATCTAGTAAACATCAAGAATTGACTGGTCAATAAGTAATCAACTATAAGAGAGTATCGAAATTCGGATTCAAGGAAAATCTGGGTTATTTCAAGCCCTAGGTTCTTGAATCATCCGTGAGGTTGTGCAAAATATTTCTCCAACATAAATTTTATTAATATGAAATCCTCTAATGAACTGATTTGTTTCAGATTATGTCTTACCTCATTTTCACAGTCTCAATCACTCTAATGGTTGTGTCAATAGTAACTGGAGCAATTTTCTACGATCCCTATTATCAATACGACACTCTGGATGCGGCAGCGTATTCTTCTATGCACAGGACTGTATGGTCTATAGGTAATGTTTTCAGTGGTTGTTTGTTTTTATTTTTAACTACAATCTGTTAGGAAGCATTGGAGTCCTCTACGTGGCAAGTTATGGACAAATTAAATGGGTCTATTCTTTTCTGTCCTGGAAACCTTGGGTACCGTTAAGCAAGTTGGTATATGGAGCCTATTTAGTACATTTCCAGATTCAAATGCGCGGTGTTGCTAAAAAGGGAGCTGCTGATGTGACATCTTATTTTGATATTGTAAGTAAATTTAATTTTCAAATTTTTATCATACAAATCATTTTATTTCAGATAAGTTTTGCTGCTTCGGACATTGTTCTATCTTTTGGATTAGCATTTGTGCTCTATTTAGCAATTGAGGCACCATTCAGAAATATATTTTCAGTGTTGTTTTTCCCACCGAAAGATAATAAAAAAGATAAATCTAATAGTAGTAACAATAACAACAATAACAGCGAAGAAAATTTGAGCCAATCGACCTGTGATAGTCATCTTTAGCTTTTAGATAATAAATTATTGTATGTATGTATAAGTTTAGATATTTAAATATTAGGTTTTATATTTTTTTTTGTTTATTTTTAATAATTATTTTTGTACATAGCTTATGTAAATATTGACAAAAAATATAAACTCTGTAGCTGCACTCTTTTTAATTTATGAATGAACAGCTCCAGCTAGTCCTAAATACTTAAAGTCAGGAAGTCGATTCCTAATAGATCACATGTATGATTTCCAATAAGTTAATTATTTTGTATCGGCAAATTTCGTTAAAATTGGGTTCGTTCTTTGAGAAAAAAGTTCACGCGCCCTATAAGTAACCGAATTTGCATTTAGTTTTAAAAATTTGTAATTTCATATAGGTAGGTACTAAATTTTTTTACTGAATAAAATAAAAAATCTAAATTATAACGTATTTTATTAAAAAAAAAAGTGTGAATCACGTTCAGAATGCAAATTATCATTTTGTTTAATGGGTGTCCGCCTCTCTGCTGGACCAACTTTCGTTGGAGATGGTCTTTCAAATGTATTTATTTATTTATTTATTTACTCAATCAGTTCACTAAAGAATAACAAAAAAGTTTTCCAAATGGTACATACATTAAAATACTATTAAAAGATAAGACATTGGACAAAATCACAGTGAACAACAGTCAGATAAGAAAATATAAAATTAAAATTTGAAGTTTAGACACAACGTTTAATCGACAATGAGGAATTATTAAAAATATCATAATCCTTTCAATTTCTGTCATAGTTGTAAATCATTCTGTCCACAAAAGCTGTGAATCCATAATTTGTTCTATGCGGGTGCTCATAAAGAAGTCGATGTTGTCTGATTCCAATGAGGTGCTGCAATCTATCCAATTGATCAGGATTTTATGAAGAACGATAAGTAGGGCGTGTTTCCGTCTCACCGTGCAACAGTCTGGTTGCATAAGGTATTGCTGATGAAGAAAAGCGGTGTTTATAAAGTAGGCATTTTAGAAACCTTTTTGGAGGTTCTCTAGTCTATTAATATAGATGGTTTAATCTGGGGACCAGATAACCAAGCAGTATTCAAGTGTGCTGCGTACAAAAGCGTTGTAAAGACATGTAAGTGCCTCGGTGTCGTTGATGTGTTTGGTGTTTCGTTTAATGAAGCGAAGCAATCTGCAGCTTTTGACAACAATATTATCCATGTGCATTTTGAATATCAGTTTTTGATCAAACGTTACATCAAGGTCGTTGATAAATTCACATTATCAATTTGTTGACCACCAATCTTATATGTTCACAAGTGAGGAGATGTAGGTTCTCTTGTGGAACGCTATCGATTTGCATTTGGATATGTTGATTTTCAATAGGTTTGAAGAAGACCAAGACGCAAATCTGTCGAAATCTGGTTGCAGTGGGTTCGAAACTTCATTCCTAATATTATACAATTTCAGGTTGTAGCGGAAATAACCCACAACAAGATTAAATTTTGTTATTTCTAATTTAATATAATTTTCCTCTCTATTATTTGCCATAAAAATAATATTCTAAAAATAGATGCCTGTAAAACCGGCAACAACAACCCTTAGAACCGGTAAAATTACAGCTTTCTTCATTACCTTATAAGGCAGTGAACCCCTCGCCGCTGCGATTGGTCAGCCGCCACACAACATCCCTAGCTTTTTGTGACCTGCTCCCTGGCGGAGCTAGTCGACGCACATTAGTCAGTACTTTTAAATTAAGCGAAGAGTTAGTTCGCACCCTCGCGCCCTCTGAATGCTCTCCAGAGGCAAAAACCCCCGTTAGTATGCACGATTTATAGTAAAACACTACTCTCTGTGTCTCAAGGCCTGACATGGTCTATATTATTGATTACAATTCATGTAATTAACCCCTAATTATTGCAAGTCACCTCCGACGAGCAAAATTCTCTCATACGCTTGTTTTTGGCTCTATCTCTCTCACTCTCGATAGGCTCCAACGCACCTGTATATCATTGTGTTTTCTTTTCATCCCAGTGGAAAATTCCCTAGCTGCGAGTGCGAATAGTGATAAATGGATAAATAATCGCCTTATGGATTTATCTGTATGAACTGGATTAAGCGAGTAAATCTCACTCTCACTCAAAATAATATAAGTAAGGTCACTACACACTGCCTATATTGCGATCAAGATTCTCACAAAATTTATATTTGTAATAAGTTTTTTAGGAAAGAAAAACTTTTGTTTATTCAAAACAACTCTGCTTTAATTGTCTTGGTTCCAAACACACTCTTGCCAATTGCCCAGCAACTAAAGGTTGTTTTATTTGCTCTCAAAGGCATCATACATTGCTCCATAATGCTTTTGTCCCTCAAAATCCTCCAGCTCAAGGTCACAGACCGGCTCCGTTAAGCTGGCACCTCCCGCATTGATTTTTTTCTTCAAAACGCTAGCACACGATCGTTAGAGCTAGCACAACCTAGCACAAGCTGTTGTAGAGCTAGCACAGTCGTAGTAACAAAAATATATCCTAGTTAGTGCGGGGGGGGGCAGGTTAACGCTAGCCCCCCCCACATTGTTTCAAGGCGCCATAAAGCTAGCACAGCTTCTACAGCCTAGTACAACAAAAAAGAATGCTGGTACAAGTAGGTATACTTTCATGATAAATAGGCCATAATTGGGGGCGTGGCGGTTTTCAACCTTTGGGGATCTTTTAGGGATTTGTCATGAGAACGGTTATAGAACCGTGGTTAGTAGCCAGCGCAACGTTATAGCCTAGCACGTTCATTTTTCAATCAACCCAAAATTTAAATATAGAAATTATCCCCTAGTTTATACAGGGCTCGGGATAGACCTCTATCGCTTTACCATTTCTCGTCCGTTTTTAAGTTGCTTTATTTACTTTTTAATCAATCATTTACATACCTATAGTATTTTCAAAGTCAATTGGAACAAGGTTACAACTGGTGGCTGACTGGTCACTGATAATGTTCATAAGAAATGCACTGCCACTAGTCTGCCACCAGTTATACGATTTACTTTTACCTTGTTCAAATTGACTTTGGAAATACGGGGTGTCTCAATAGAAACTGACCGGTTTCAAGGGCTTATATGCCTAAATAAGTTATAAGCATTTAAAATTGGTCACTTTCTATTGGGACACCCTGTATTTCCAAAGTCAATTTGAACAAGGTAAAAGTAAATCGTATAACTGGTGGCAGACTAGTGGCAGTGCATTTCTTATGAACATTATCAGTGACCAGTCAGCCACCAGTTGTTACCTTGTTCCAATTGACTTTGAAAATAATATAGGTATGTAAATGATTGATTAAAAAGTAAATAAAGCAACTTAAAAACGGACGAGAAAGGGTAAAGCGATAGAGGTCTATCCCGACCCCTGCATAAATTAGGAGATAATTTCTATATTTAAATTTTGGGTTGATTGAAAAATGAACGTACTAGGCTATAACGTTGCGCTGGCTACTAACCACGGTTCTATAACCGTTCTCATGACAAATCCCTAAAAGATCCCCAAAGGTTGAAAACCACCCACGCCCCCAATTATGGCCTAATTATCATGAAAGTATACCTACTTGCACCAGCATTCTTTTTTGTTGTACTAGGCTGTGCTTACGCAAATAAAGCTGTGCCAGCATTAAAGCGACTTAAAAACGGGCAAGGAAGGGAATAGCGTTAATTTTCCCACCCCTGCATAAATTGGGGAATAACTTCGGTTCCAAAACTCTGATTGATCTGAAAATGGTTGTGCTAGGTTGTGCTAGCTATTTACCAAGCTTCCATTACTATTACTGTGTTAGCTCTACAACAGCTTGTGCTAGGTTGTGCTAGCTCTAACGATCGTGTGCTAGCGTTTTGAAGAAAAAAATCAATGCGGGGGGAGCCAGCATAACGGACCCTCAGAGACCACAACAAAGACCCCATCACAATAACTCTTCGCTTGCTAGACCAAATTATTCTCAGGGTCAGCAGCAACCGTCTCAGGATCCTCCCAGGACACAGACACAAGGTTCAAGACCTCAAAATCAAGCTGACTCACAACCAAACTAAAATGAACTTCCCAAATTTTCGCAAAGTCTCCACTCGGTCTCAGCACTCTCGACAAAAAACTCACAAGCTCTTTTAGCAACCGCATGCGTAACACTTTATGACGCAGACAGGCGGCCCCTTCAAGCCAAAGCCATTTTAGATAATAGCTCGCAACACTCTTTTGTAACTGACAAATTAGTTAAAAGGTTAAAACTAGTCCCCTATGTCAAAACAACATATGTGTCTGGCATAGCTCTTAGTAACAATGTTACTAATAAGATGATTGATTTGAAAATATACTCAAATTTGTATCCCCATTTGAGATTTCCTGCGCCATTCTCCCTGTAATAACAAGACCTCTCCCATCTATACTAATAGATGTCAGTTCGTGGAATATACCGAGCGACATTGTTCTTCCTGATCCTAGTTTCACTGGTCCTTTGGAAATTGGAAGTTGACCTTCTGATTGGTTCAGACCTCTATTATAATCTACTAACAAAAGGCATGATTCATCTAGGTCATGGCCTGCCCACAGTCTTAAACACTCATCTCGGTTGGATTCTTGGAGGAACGTTTCCCCAAAATTCACACCATAATAACTGCTCTCATTTAGTCACTGGTAGCCCTGCACAATAAGTGCACCCCTCTGTCTCTATGTTTGTTCAAAGCCCGGACAATAGCTCTCGCGAAAATATGGTGACTATAAATTTTGGTCCATGGAAGAAATCCATACCAAAGCCCCTCTCTCCCTTGAAGATGCAAAGGCTGTTTCAAGGAAACAACCCAAATATTAGAAAATGGCTCTTATCAAGTTATCTTACCCTTGAAATCTCCCTCTGAAAATCTCAAACTCGGTGATTGTTTGTCTATAGCCACAAAAAGATTTCACAATCTCGAGAGGAACTTTGTAAAGGACCTAGATTATTTTCATGAATATCAGACATTTATTCATGAATATGTTAACCTTGGACATACTCAAATATTCCCTCCCTCATCACGCGGTGGTTAGAGAAGGTGCGTGCTCAACGAAGCTGCGTGTGGTCTTTGGCGTCTCTTGCAAAACCACAACCGGCCTTTCCCTATATAACATCACTCTCAAAGGCTTTCAGGTCCAGCCTGACCTTTATGACATATTGTTACGCTTTAGATCTTTCAAATATGCTCTCACAGCTGATATCGAGAAGATATTCTGACAAATAAAGATAAATCCCACTCAGACCTTTTCATTAAATATTTTATGGAGAGACGAACCTGAAAAACCACTTCAGTGCATCGAATTGACAACTGTCACGTATGGCACTAACAGTGCAACTAGAGTCTTAAACGATGTAAAAATAGCTCAGATTATCCCCTCGCATCTCATTCTCTATTGAAACAATGTTACATAGAT